AATATAATAATTTATTAAAAATAATTTTTAAAATAAATAATCAATTTATAATTTCAAATTATAATATATATAAAAAATAATATAAAATAACTTATGCTACTAATATTCTTATTTTTATATTATTAAAATTATTCTAATTATTTATAATAAATTAATTTTTTATATTAATAATAATATTATTAAAATCTGAAATCTCAAAGATAAAAATAAACTTTAATATAAAGTATAAAATCTTAATATTTATATAAATAAATTTATTTACAAATTAATTAAATATATTTATCTTTCAAAAGAGAATTAAATTATATATTACTTACCTAGAACTGCACCTTGATCAAAATCGCATGATACAAAAACCTCTTTATATGATCCAAATATTGGAATATTAATTTTTTATTTGAATTTTTTCTCTTATTTATTGTAATAGGTGACAAAAAACCCTCCTACCTGAGATAAATAACTAGTTAAATGTAACAATCTCTCTTCTTCAGAAATTACTACTAAAACTAGATGATATTATTTTAGTACCTTATGCTTGCTTTATTGAAAGATTTATAATGATTATGCGTATTCAATGATTACTAAAGATTTATTTTTCAGCTCTTTTTTATGCGGAATAGTAGGAACTTTTATTTTAGCCTCAAAATTTTGCTTGTATTTCAGGAAAGTGATCTCATCCATACTCTCACGCTCTTTTTTCTTTTTTTCTCTCGAGTTTGAAAAAAAAGTGATATCCCAAGGTATATTTAACTAAAATATCTAAAATTGAGTGATGAAGATGAGATTATATCAGCTTATCCAATCTATATATATCACTAATTCTCATTAATAACTTTTTTATATGCTTTAGTAGAACCTTCTTTGAAGATAAATCAGAGAATATAAAATATAAATCAAACTTAATGTACCATACCTATAACCCGTTTGACCAGCCAGAGTTAATAGCGCATATTATCAAAAATCTAGCACCAAAAAATCTCGCAAAATGCCTTTATATCAATCAAATATGGAATAAGGAAGCAAAACGTGAGTTCTTTATAAGGCAAGAAAAACTTGAAGATATATTTTGAGAATTAGATTCAGAATTAGAAGAAGCTAGAGAAGAATATGCTGGTGGATTGGTGGGGCTAATCCGAAAATCGAAGACCCTTATGTAAGAATAAATTCTTTGAATAGTAAGTTGTTTGGAATTATTAAAAGACTACAAGAATTAGAACATTACATGTTGAGTAATAATATCATTGATAGAATAGAGGGGGCACATTATATGTATGGTAAGGTTATTTCAATATGAGCCAGTATATAAATATTGAAATATTCAAGTTAAATTCTAATACTTGGTTATCCGACCCACGCATCTCGCAACCGCTCACTTTTCCCCATGTACGTCTCAATATCACCGCAATAATTAACAAGATGAGAAAAATATATGCCGATAGAGGTAACATCAAAGTACTTGCCACAATGGGACTTGTTCCTATTCCTCCTATCGGAAGAGGCAAAGCCTTCGACTAGTTGTATAATTAGTATTGTACAAAATTCAATTAAGATACTTTGGTGGCCCAAGATTCCGTGTTAGTATATATTTGGTATTTATCAAAGCATTAATAATATTACTTTACATCAAAAAATTGAATCACATTTTTACATATAGTGGAATCTATATTATATTATTATTTTTTCGGCTATACTATAAAAATGCAAGATCGTAATGAGATTGATACTAATGCCATTATTTATGCTAAAAGACGTGAAGGTGAATGCCTAGCTAAAGTCAGATCAAATTCGGATATTTATTTATGGATTTGTAAAAATCAGCATAAATGGAAAGCATCTTATGGAGATATGAAACGAAATTATAAGTGGTGCAATAGTTGTCCTCATATATTTGAAAGGACATGTCGATATATCTTCGAAGAGTTATTACATAAAAAATTTTCACTCCGAAAACCCAAATTTTTAAGGGGCTTACAACTTGACGGATATAATGAGGAATTACGCTTAGCTTTTGAGTATAGTGGCAATCAGCATTTTCAAATCGTTCCTTTTTTTCATCCACAAGGACAAAGTGATTTAGATGCACAAATTCAACGCGATTGGAAAAAGAGGGCACTCTGTTTCAAAGAGGGTATAATTCTTATCACAATCCCTTATTGTGTTGTTGATTTGCCAACTTTTATTAAGAGCGCCTTGATCGCATTTGGTTATCTTCTAAAACCCACCGGGGAGGTAATATAGGCTCTTCCTTAATATGCATTAATTGTTCCCTTACGAAGGGACGCTGAGGACCTGACTCATCTAAATAATATAAAACAGGCATCGGAGGATTCTTTCCGACAACAATTCTTCGGATTTTATGTAGGCTGGGAGACCATACTGGATCTGTTATTCTGCGTCGTTCGAAAGGATCATTTTCCCATTCTCCTTTAGCAAGCAAAAATCGGACAGTGGTATCTTTTGGCAACTGGGGTTCATTAATACCAATCGGACGATTATATTTTACTGATGGCTTGGAATACACCCGTTCAAGTTTCATGGCATCATTAGGGCTCATTCCAATTAACCGAGTTGAGGTATTATTCATATTATCAACAATTTTACGTGCAAATCGCTCACACTCTTTACAGCGTTCACCACTAGGTAAGAGAAATTCTATCGCATACTGATTCTTAAAAACTCTCAAAGTGAAAAGTCCAGCATAACGGTCGACAATTGCTAAGCTAGTATGTCTGAAGCGAGCTTTGATTCTTCTAATCCTAATTCCATGCTTATTCATTAATAAAGTAACATTACCCATAAACGAACGATCCTCATCACATTGCAACAATCGAGGATATGTGAGAGGATTATTAGGTTTTTCATATATACTCCTAAACGCATCTGCAACTTCTGAGCTATTTTTAGATGTTAAAAAAACGAAATCTCTAAACCTACTAGCACAATCTATAATTAATAAAACATAATAAAATATTTCATTGTTTTTATCCGATAAATTTGTGTTCTCGAGCAAATCTTCATCATATGGTATTTCAACTAAATCGCACATATGTACACTGTTTGGTTTTGAGATCCTAGAATAGCTGGTATAAGGTATATTCTTTGGTGAAGGGCGATAAATTTGATGCATTTTCTGAGGTTCAAGCCATTTTTTTATTATGGTAAGTGGAAAGTAATATCCAGCCTTTCTACAAGCATCTCGTAATCTTTCAGCATTTTGGTAATAACCTTCAGGACAATAGTATAATTTTTGTAGAATAATTTCCCTATCCAAATCGCGGGCCCTCTGTGGATCGATATAAATTACAGGTGAATCAGAGATTCGAAACTTTGTTTCTTCAATCATAACTTTTATTATTATAATGAATAAAAAACATGGCAACAATAGCTGAGTTAGCCGATACTATTGATGGTTATTTGGATAATCCAGGAACAAACAGAACAATTTTATCCAATCAAATAAAAAGAGTAACACGACAGATACGTCGCAAATACAACAATCTTCAAACAGATCTTATAAATGAGCAACAGCGAAGATATAATGCAGAAGCAGAACGAGATATACGTCAAACAGAGTTAACACAAACTCAAGGAGATCTCAACTTAATAACTACTGCATATAATAATGAAAGAGTTGTATGCCAGCAGTATTTTTTAGAATTACAACAATGTCGTATCAGAATAGATACGTTGAAAAATGATTTACACTTATGTGATATACAACTTGATATTAAATGGGGAAAGTGGAAAAATAGAACTCGAAATGCAGAACAATTAATTTTAAATTTGCAAGGACAAATTTTATTGTTACAAAATAACCCACAAAATATGGCAGAAGGTAGACGACGACCAGTATTAAAATTGATATATCAATCTTTTCAACCAATTCCACAATATATAGGCCAAATGCCACCCGATGATTATGTAAATACATTAGAACAAGCATGGTCTATTGCAGTACCTCAAATGACGGCTCTTGAAACTGCAAATGCAGGAGATTTCAATGATGCTGTTAAATGCGATGTATTAAAAAGTAAAATAGGAGGTAAATTTGCTCCAGTACCAGCTGATGATCCCTTTATTCAAGGTAATCCTGCTATAAATACACCTGCTACACTACGAGCTTATTTAAATGCCAAATATCAAAGAGAAACAATAGGTAGCCAACAATCTGCAATTCAAAGATTGACTCAAGAAAGATATCAGCCTTATGATACTCCCGATACTTATGAAGCTAGAATTCGACTACTAATAATAGGAGTAGCAGACGATGATGCACAAGTTTTAGGTTTTCTTAAAAATCATTTACCAGGTGAGCTTTATACATGGATGAAAATTGCTAATCCAGCTGGCATTAATGCATTTTTCACTGAATTAAAAAATATGTGGCTAGAACGTACTCCAAATTTGAATGAAGGTAAAGCTTATCAACAAACTTCCTATAACCCTAAAATAGCTGTAAAACAGTTGCCTTCGGCAATAGAAACTCCGGTAATTTCGCAAACACCTGATATACAAAAAATGATTAATGAAGCATTAGCAAAACAGAAATCTGAATCTGATGCTGAGATAGAAAAATTAAGAAAGGAAGTTCAATCCCAAAAAATACAAAAAAGTTAAAGGAATTCCAGATTCGGATAAACATGAATTCCGAATGACAGTTCGTGGAAAATCTTACATTATCCCAACTTTTATTAAACCAAATGAAAATATTAACGAGAAGCAACCTTCAAGTAAGATATCAAGCTGTTGTACTACAGTAATACAGGATACCGCTCAAGATACAGAGGCATTAGAACCATTAGAGGAATGGCATGCTCCTGAAGGTTTTGATCAGTCAAAGTTAAAAAAAAAATGCATAAATTGTGAAAGTATGACTATCCGTGTAAAGGAACTTGAAAAAGCACTATTTACTAGTGTCCAAACTAATTCAGAATTTATTGGATATTATAATAATTTGCGTGATCAATATTAATATAAAGCAAAAATTAGTCATATTAATTCTAAGCTTTTGAAATAGGAGCAGATAGTTTAGAAATATCAGCACGTACAACAGCTCTTATCTTTTTAGCCTCCTCTTGTGTTCTCTTATAGAATTCTAAAGGATCTTCAGTTTTTTGTGAGGCTTCAGGTGGTATAGTTTCTTTTTTTGCTTCTGATATTTTGTCTATCTTTTCAGTTAAATCTTTACTAACAGAGTGTTGATCAGAAATACACGCAGACTTAGATTTTCTCTTTTTTGTCTCTTCCACAACTATAGGTATTGAAATATTACTTTCTGAATTAGCTAAATATGGATTCCAAACATTTGTGCAAACCTCTTTTCCTTTCCATATCCGATAAAAACGGGTATTGGACATAGGATATTTATCTCTAAGCATCTCTAAAGGTTTGGATTTTGCATCTTTGTATTGCATAATATATTTATAGTCATCTGGTGATAGTTTGACTGCATCAGATCGCATGGTCTTGTTAATAGTAACAGTAATATTGATAAAAAAAAATACTGATAATAATATTATTGATAATACCAGTAATATTGATAATATTGATAATATCCGTAATATATATAATATGTTATTATTGATAATATCCGTAATATGTTATTTTTATTAAATATAGCTAAGCCGAAAAATACATGGCTAATGTATGTACATTGCGAGATATTAACTCAAAAGGACATCGTCTTGGAAGTACTAGGGAGGTGGAACTTGAAGAAGCTTTACGTGATAGTTGTAAGTCCAATTCTGAACTTATTGATGATTTTAAAAACTATCAGAAGGTGTATAAAAAGTATATTAAAAATATCAAACAGGATAAGGTGCATTTGCAACGTGATATAAATCAAACTAGTAAAGATAAAGAGAAACTTACCAAGTACGTCTACCAACTTATAGATGAGATTAAGCGATTAAACTCGAAATTAAATAATTTAACTTCTCAGATCAACCAATTACAGATTTCTCATGCCGAGTATATAGCTAAGTATACCACTCAATTGGATGAAATAAAATCGCTTCAAGATATGAATGAGATATTGGAAGGAAGGTTAATATCAGCCCAGGATGATGCAATTTCGATCCAGAAAGAATCATCAAAAAAAGATTTTGAGATCTGGTCTCTCAAGACTGAATTGGTGAATATAAAGAGTGAATTGGCTTCGAAGGTTAGTGAACTTGAGCGTCTAAAATCAGAGAATATTTCGATACCTGTGGTTGGTGGAGATAGCGAGGAGCAGAGCCTCATTGTTCCCACAATAAAAAATATATCAAAGTCTAACAATATCTCTGCAGTATTGCAAAGCAGGCCATTGGGTGATGAATCGGAGATTCGAGACTCTGTCTCTTCTCTGAATCATGACACTTACATGTCTAGTGAGGAATCAGAGATTCGAGGCTATGCCTCACCTAGCAAAAATCTCAGTCAATATTTTGCAGGCAGAAAAATTATGGATGAAGTCAAAAAAATTAGCACTGATATACCAACTCATACCAGGCCTTTAGGCGCCTCAAAGAGGCATGATAAAATTGTTCCAATATTAGAATCTTCAAAAATCGATACTGAGGTTATTTCTAAGGTAAGTGATGAAACCATTATCAACGAAAATAGTGAGGATAATAAAGATAATATATTACAACCTATCGACACAGAAAACCAATTTCAAGAAATAAAGAATGTGACTCTGATTAAATCTCATAATATTACAATAGGAAGGAGTGAGGAATTACCTATTATAGCATTAGGTGCTAGCATGGTTAATGATAAGTATCAAACTACTCCTATTAAGTTTGTTATTTTTGCCTTGATAATATTATTAATTATATGGTATATATACAGGCAAATTTTTCGTCCAACCAAAAAGGAAGAAAATTTTTATCCAGTCTATAGAAAACAGAGTTATGGATTCCCAATCCGTCATGCAAAAAAATTCAAAAATACCTCCTATGAAACTTTACCTTATGGATATGGACGAAGCTAATAAACAAATTGCATCTCGTTGTCAATCCCATCCTGCTAGTCCAACATGGCCCTTCAAAATGATAGTTACAGGGAAAAGTGGATCAGGTAAGACCAATATTTTGGCAAATCTTTTTCTTGGTGATAAAGCTGAATACATATATAAAGGAAAAAAAGGTGGTAGGAGATATATTTCTTGTGATGATTTAATAGTTTGTGGATACCATCCTGACGAACCAAAGTGGGCATTTGTAAGGTATATGTATGGTATAATTTCAAAAGATCCAAAAGCACCTTATTATGAGAATATACGGTTTATCTATATATCACCAGAAAAAATCCCTAGTGTAAATGCATTTTCACCTGAACGAAGTACAGCGATTGTTTTTGAGGATTTGTGTCTCGCTTCAGAACATATACAAAATCGAATTGGTCAATTTTTCACACATGGGCGTCATAGAAACATTTCAAGCATATATGTAACACAACGTTATCATCATACACCAATAATTATCCGTGAAAATATTTCACATCTAGTAGTCTTTAATGGTGGTAGTTCCCATCAAGATATTTCCAAGGTCATTGGACGATATACTGAAGATGTGAAAAATACCTCTATGGTTGTTAATAGTTACCTTCGAAAAGGTGAATTTATTGTCTTTGATCTAAATAAATCAGATGATGATCCACTGGCAATTCGGTTGAGATTTGATACTCCATTAGACCTTCAAAAAGAGGTAGAGTTACGAGAGAAGCGAAAAAAAGGATCATAAAGATTCATTACTCCTGAAATTAAAGTTTTGATTTTTTTGATGAAGAATCACCTATTTGCAATGAGAAAGTTGACAATAAATGATGCTTGTGCAATTGCTGGAAAACGTGGTGGGCTTTGTCTTTCTACTGAATATGTTAATGCTAACATTCCAATGCGATGGCGATGTGCAAATGGTCATGAGTGGACTACATCTCTTAACAATATCAAGAATGGTAAGACATGGTGTCCGTATTGTGCAAATAAGGCCAGTCATACAATTGAAGATGCTAAGCAAGTTGCTTTTAGTAAGAATGGAGAATGCCTTTCCAAAACGTATGATAATAGTTTTTCACCTTTATCATGGCGTTGTTCTGAAGGGCATGAATGGAATTCATCTTTTAACAATGTGAAAAATAACAAGACGTGGTGTCCACATTGCGCAAATAATAGACCTTGTACACTTGAAAATGCCAAACAATTGGCTTATAATAGAAAGGGAGCTTGTCTTTCTGAATATTATATTAATAATCGTTCAGCTTTATTATGGATGTGTGATAAAAAGCATAAATGGTTTGCTACTTTTGATAACGTTAAACATTTAAACTCGTGGTGCCCATTCTGCCCGAAATATAAAAGAGAAAAGCTATGTCACGAGATTTTAACAAAGTATCTTGGCCCTCCTTCACTAATCCGCAAACCTAATTTTCTCAAAACACCAGAATGTCCCATAGGATTAGAACTTGATATTTATTACCCAGAATATGGCTTTGCAATCGAAGTACAAGGCGTACAACACGAAAAATATATCAAATTCTTCCATAATGGCGATCCCAATAATTTTATCAAACAGCAAGCACGGGATCAACTCAAGAAAGAATTATGCGAAGAAAACTGTATTGCCCTAAGGTATGTTTGGTATTACGAAGACCCATATGTAGTTATTCCAGGGCATCTTAGTGAATTGGGTCTCATTGAGTAAACTCGAAACTTTAAATGCTTTATGATCATTACGTGTATTGTTTATGTAATAGGTTTTACTGTTTTAACAGTAGGTTACATTCATTCATGTGAGTTGCTTTTCTTTTGTAGCGGGTGTATTATTTTTTTCGTATAATTATAAAATCTAAGTATTTATCCCGACCTTGTTTTGTTAGATACATAAATAAAAAAAATTCTTATAATCGTTATAGTTTTATTTTTCAGTACACACTATATAAACATGTAAAAGAGATTATATTATCATTACGTTACATTTGATTATTCATTGATTTGTCGAAGCAGTAAATAAATCCTCATTTCGTAAAATTAAATCGCAGAATTATTGTTCAAAGTATCTTGTACACTTTTTAGCCACTGGCGAACTGTGATAGACTTAACCTCAATTATACCGCGATGCTCACTGGCCATCACGTTAATTACTTTCTCCTGATCGCGAAGATTTTTCTAAGCAAATAATACATGTGTAAATATTTTTCTGTCATTATTATTGTGGTCATTTATAAATATTATAGATGCTTACCATAAAATAAGCAATTAACTCAAATATATGCATGTATTCTGCCACCGAGTTCCACGAAAATGGCCACCGTGCACTTCGTACTTCTACGGCTTTAAAGCCAGATTCATGCACAGAAATTTCGACTAGGACAATCCGGTCAACTGCAAAGAAAAGAAATAAATGACATTAATGGCGTTATAGGCGAATCCTTATCTCTCTAAAGTTATTGAAACATATCTATTGCTTGCATTGTATAAAATTTTAGTTTTTTAGCCGCGTCAAGAGACGCATCAAGATATTGTTGTAGTGTACCTTGAAGCATCTCACATCCTTCCAGCAATGTCTTCTTGGTATCTCCCAGTGTATGGGGACGATCCTGCTCAATTGGTCCGCCAGATACCTCGATTGTCGCAAACTCTCTACGATTCTCCTTAACAATAGCCAATGCATCTACTTTGTAAGTCGTCGTTTTCTTGTCCGGATCTTCGACAAATTGCAATGCCTTAGTCATCATCATATTTTTCTCCACCCTAGACAAATTTGAAAATAAATATAACAAGAAAAAAAACTCCAGTCTAAGAGACTAAGACATACCAGTTAAATGTTACCAGCTCAAATACATATTCGATATACTTGAATGGAATAGAAACCTGTTCTAATATAAATTTTCTTTCGGATGCGTGCCTTTCAATAGTGTGACTTTTTGCACGGCGGATCATGGTATGACTTTGAATGGTTATATCGCGTCAGTTTTTTCTTTTTCAACCGCATTAATAGTTGTTAAATACTTACAAGTCGATTAATGTACCCCGAAAGACAATACGCAAGTCATTTTCATACTCATTAGCATCCTTTAATTGCATATTCACCTTCTCATCAAACTCGTCTACAGTACTCTACAAAGAATTATCAGTTTAAGTTCATAACTTCAAAATATCATTGCATTACAATACTCACAGCAAGAACAAAACGTAGCCATGTGACTAGTGATGCCGGCAAGCTGACTAGTTTGACTTGGTCGCACGAATGACGCTTTATTTCTTTGGCAATGTCTTCGTGTTGAACTTCAAGATTTGATATAAGCGATTTCAACCCTGGTACTAATGTTGGCGCAAGACTGCAACCAAAGAGAAATGATATTGCATAAGCTGACAGAACTACAAGGCGCATACTTTGCCATCATCTCCTTTGTCAGGAGCGGTTTATGCGGTGAGATTGCTGAGAATGAGACATGTGGGCCTTTCTTTCGTGGCGTTTGTGGCGCATTGGATTCTGTCATTTTTCTCTTCAAGTCAACAGGTTCACTCTTATGCTTATTTGAATCGATGACGTCCTCTAGCCTATTCAAGGCACCGCGATTTAACGTACTCGCATAATTTTGACTCTCCTGCGTTGCCTGTAGTAGTCCATGTAACTTATTTTGCAGTAAAATAATTTCGTATGTAAGCTCAATTATAAAATGTCAATAACATTTCTCATGCGTACCTGAAGATCTGTTAATTTCTTCTCTTTTAGCTCGACTTCAACGGATACCCACATCTTATCTAAAGGTCCTCCTTTTCGACGTGCTCGCTATGTAATTGTTAGTTTTTATAGATAAAGTGCTACAACCAGCCACGACAATCAACAGATCATAAGCGGTTCATCAGCAGAATTCCCGCGTAGTCGCAGTTGCTAATACAATTAAAGTACCCTTATTGCTAAAAGCTAGCCGTCCACAACGATCAACAGATCATAAACGGTACATCAGCAGAATTCCCGCGTAGTTGTAGAGAGCCAAACCAACTAAACCGTTGATATGACCACGGCCTAAGAGAACTTCTATCCAGTTGCAACATCACATATGTACAAGAAAAATCTACACTCACTTTAGCTTTTTCCTGAAGATTTAATGCCTGCCTTATCGTATCAGCATTGGCTGATGTGCTCACAATATCTCGCAAACTCCTGGTGAGTTTGTCTGCGGCCGTTTTGTAATCGAGCTTCTCGGTCTATCTTTGTTTTTTTCTATAAAAAAACGGTGGAACCCGACGATATCCCACTCCACAGGGTTTTTCAAATCAAAGTACTTGTCAGTCATCTGATTATTTTCCTGCAGGTCATGCAAAATAAAGGTGAATATCTCCATCATTATCTGCGACGTCACCATTAGAGATGTGCCTATGCGCATTATGCGTGCATATATGCGTGCGCATAGTTACTAACCGATATCGTAAATGCCCATACACAATTATGCATATGGTTAAGTTCATAAATCATCACCAA